TGAGACGTGGTGAGGTGACGTGGTGAGGTGACATGGTGAGACGTGGTGAGGTGAGGTGACATGGTGAGGTGAGTAGTGAGGTGACGTGGTGAGACGTGGTGAGGTGACGTGGTGAGGTGACGTGGTGAGGTGACGTGGTGAGGTGACGTGGTGAGGTGACGTGGTGAGGTGCCGTGGTGAGGTGACGTGGTGAGGTGAGTAGTGAGGTGACATGGTGAGACGTGGTGAGGTGACGTGGTGAGGTGACGTGGTGAGGTGACGTGGGTGAGGTGACGTGGTGAGGTGACGTGGTTGAGGTGACGTGGTGAGGTGACGTGGTGAGGTGAGTAGTGAGGTGACATGGTGAGGTGACGTGGTGAGGTGCCGTGGTGAGGTGAGGTGACGTGGTGAGGTGACGTGGTGAGGTGAGGTGACGTGGTGAGGTGACGTGGTGAGGTGACGTGGTGAGACGTGGTGAGGTGACATGGTGAGGTAACGTGGTGAGGTGACGTGGTGACGTGGTGAGGTGACATGGTGAGACGTGGTGAGGTGACGTGGTGAGGTGACGTGGTGAGGTGACGTGGTGAGGTGCCGTGGTGAGGTGACATGGTGAGACGTGGTGAGGTGACGTGGTGAGACGTGGTGAGGTGACGTGGTGAGGTGACGTGGTGAGGTGCTGTGGTGAGGTGACGTGGTGAGGTGAGTAGTGAGGTGACATGGTGAGACGTGGTGAGGTGACGTGGTGAGGTGCCGTGGTGAGGTGAGGTGACGTGGTGAGGTGACTGTGGGTGAGGTGAGGTGACGTGGTGAGGTGACGTGGTGAGGTGACGTGGTGAGCCGTGGTGAGGTGACATGGTGAGGTGACGTGGTGAGGTGACGTGGTGACGTGGTGAGGTGACATGGTGAGACGTGGTGAGGTGACGTGGTGAGGTGACGTGGTGAGGTGACGTGGTGAGGTGACGTGGTGAGACGTGGTGAGGTGACGTGGTGAGACGTGGTGAGGTGACGTGGTGAGGTGACGTGGTGAGGTGCCGTGGTGAGGTGACGTGGTGAGGTGAGTGGTGAGGTGAGTGGTGAGGTGACATGGTGAGACGTGGTGAGGTGACGTGGTGAGGTGACGTGGTGAGGTGACGTGGTGAGGTGACGTGGTGAGGTGACATGGTGAGGTGACGTGGTGAGGTGACGTGGTGAGACGTGGTGAGGTGACGTGGTGAGGTGACGTGGTGAGGTGCTGTGGTGAGGTGACGTGGTGAGGTGAGTAGTGAGGTGACATGGTGAGACATGGTGAGGTGACGTGGTGAGGTGCCGTGGTGAGGTGAGGTGACGTGGTGAGGTGACGTGGTGAGGTGAGGTGACGTGGTGAGGTGACGTGGTGAGGTGACGTGGTGAGACGTGGTGAGGTGACATGGTGAGGTGACGTGGTGAGGTGACGTGGTGACGTGGTGAGGTGACATGGTGAGACGTGGTGAGGTGACGTGGTGAGGTGACGTGGTGAGGTGACGTGGTGAGGTGACATGGTGAGACGTGGTGAGGTGACGTGGTGAGGTGACGTGGTGAGGTGACGTGGTGAGGTGACATGGTGAGGTGACGTGGTGAGGTGACGTGGTGAGACGTGGTGAGGTGACGTGGTGAGGTGACGTGGTGAGGTGCTGTGGTGAGGTGACGTGGTGAGGTGACGTGGTGAGGTGACGTGGTGAGGTGACGTGGTGAGGTGACGTGGTGAGGTGCCGTGGTGAGGTGACGTGGTGAGGTGAGTAGTGAGGTGACATGGTGAGGTGACGTGGTGAGGTGCCGTGGTGAGGTGAGGTGACGTGGTGAGGTGACGTGGTGAGGTGAGGTGACGTGGTGAGGTGACGTGGTGAGGTGACGTGGTGAGACGTGGTGAGGTGACATGGTGAGGTGAGGTGACGTGGTGAGGTGACGTGGTGAGGTGAGGTGACGTGGTGAGGTGACGTGGTGAGGTGACGTGGTGAGGTGACGTGGTGAGGTAACGTGGTGAGGTGACGTGGTGAGGTGACGTGGTGAGGTGACGTGGTGAGGTGACATGGTGAGACGTGTGAGGTGACGTGGTGAGGTGACGTGGTGAGGTGCCGTGGTGAGGTGACGTGGTGAGGACGTGGTGAGGTGACGTGGTGAGACGTGGTGAGGTGACGTGGTGAGGTGACGTGGTGAGGTGCTGTGGTGAGGTGACGTGGTGAGGTGAGTAGTGAGGTGACATGGTGAGACGTGGTGAGGTGACGTGGTGAGGTGCCGTGGTGAGGTGAGGTGACGTGGTGAGGTGATGTGGTGAGGTGAGGTGACGTGGTGAGGTGACGTGGTGAGGTGACGTGGTGAGACGTGGTGAGGTGACATGGTGAGGTGACGTGGTGACGTGGTGAGGTGACATGGTGAGACGTGGTGAGGTGACGTGGTGAGGTGACGTGGTGAGGTGACGTGGTGAGGTGACATGGTGAGACGTGGTGAGGTGACGTGGTGAGACGTGGTGAGGTGACGTGGTGAGGTGACGTGGTGAGGTGCCGTGGTGAGGTGACGTGGTGAGGTGAGTGGTGAGGTGAGTGGTGAGGTGACATGGTGAGACGTGGTGAGGTGACGTGGTGAGGTGACGTGGTGAGGTGACGTGGTGAGGTGACGTGGTGAGGTGACATGGTGAGGTGACGTGGTGAGGTGACGTGGTGAGACGTGGTGAGGTGCCGTGGTGAGGTGACGTGGTGAGGTGCCGTGGTGAGGTGACGTGGTGAGGTGAGTAGTGAGGTGACATGGTGAGACGTGGTGAGGTGACGTGGTGAGGTGCCGTGGTGAGGTGAGGTGACGTGGTGAGGTGCCGTGGTGAGGTGAGGTGACGTGGTGAGGTGACGTGGTGAGGTGACGTGGTGAGACGTGGTGAGGTGACATGGTGAGGTGACGTGGTGAGGTGACGTGGTGACGTGGTGAGGTGACATGGTGAGACGTGGTGAGGTGACGTGGTGAGGTGACGTGGTGAGGTGACGTGGTGAGGTGACATGGTGAGACGTGGTGAGGGTGACGTGGTGAGGTGACGTGGTGAGGTGACGTGGTGAGGTGACATGGTGAGGTGACGTGGTGAGGTGACGTGGTGAGACGTGGTGAGGTGACGTGGTGAGGTGACGTGGTGAGGTGCTGTGGTGAGGTGAGGTGGTGAGGTGAGTAGTGAGGTGACATGGTGAGACGTGGTGAGGTGACGTGGTGAGGTGCCGTGGTGAGGTGAGGTGACGTGGTGAGGTGACGTGGTGAGGTGAGGTGACGTGGTGAGGTGACGTGGTGAGGTGACGTGGTGAGACGTGGTGAGGTGACATGGTGAGGTGACGTGGTGAGGTGACGTGGTGACGTGGTGAGGTGACATGGTGAGACGTGGTGAGGTGACGTGGTGAGGTGACGTGGTGAGGTGACGTGGTGAGGTGACATGGTGAGACGTGGTGAGGTGACGTGGTGAGACGTGGTGAGGTGACGTGGTGAGGTGACGTGGTGAGGTGCCGTGGTGAGGTGACGTGGTGAGGTGAGTGGTGAGGTGAGTGGTGAGGTGACGTGGTGAGGTGACATGGTGAGGTGAGTGGTGAGGTGAGTAGTGAGGTGACGTGGTGAGGTGACGTGGTGAGGTGACATGGTGAGGTGAGTGGTGAGGTGAGTAGTGAGGTGACGTGAGGTGAGTGGTGAGACGAGGTGAGTAGTGAGGTGACATGGTGAGGTGACATGGTGAGACGAGGTGAGTAGTGAGGTGACGAGGTGAGTGGTGAGGTGACGTGGTGACGTGGTGAGGTGACGTGGTGAGGTGACGTGGTGAGGTGACGTGGTGAGGTGACGTGGTGAGGTGACGTGGTGAGGTGACATGGTGAGGTGAGGTGACGTGGTGAGGTGACGTGGTGAGACGAGGTGAGTGGTGAGGTGAGTGGTGAGGTGACGTGGTGAGACGTGGTGAGGTGAGTGGTGAGGTGAGTGGTGAGGTGACGTGGTGAGACGTGGTGAGGTGAGTAGTGAGGTGAGTGGTGAGGTGAGTGGTGAGGTGAGTGGTGAGGTGACGTGGTGAGACGTGGTGAGGTGAGTGGTGAGGTGAGTGGTGAGGTGAGTGGTGAGGTGAGTGGTGAGGTGACGTGGTGAGACGTGGTGAGGTGAGTGGTGAGGTGAGTGGTGAGGTGAGTGGTGAGGTGAGTGGTGAGGTGAGTGGTGAGGTGAGTGGTGAGGTGAGTGGTGAGGTGAGACGAGGTGAGTGGTGAGGTGAGTGGTGAGGTGAGTGGTGAGGTGAGGTGAGGTGAGTGGTGAGGTGAGTGGTGAGGTGACGTGGTGAGGTGACGTGGTGAGACGTGGTGAGGTGAGTGGTGAGGTGACGTGGTGAGACGTGGTGAGGTGAGTAGTGAGGTGAGTGGTGAGGTGAGTGGTGAGGTGAGTGGTGAGGTGACGTGGTGAGACGTGGTGAGGTGAGTGGTGAGGTGAGTGGTGAGGTGAGTGGTGAGGTGAGTGGTGAGGTGAGTGGTGAGGTGACGTGGTGAGACGTGGTGAGGTGAGTGGTGAGGTGAGTGGTGAGGTGAGTGGTGAGGTGAGTGGTGAGGTGAGTGGTGAGGTGAGTGGTGAGGTGAGTGGTGAGGTGAGACGAGGTGAGTGGTGAGGTGAGGTGAGGTGAGTGGTGAGGTGAGTGGTGAGGTGAGGTGAGGTGAGTGGTGAGGTGAGTGGTGAGGTGAGTGGTGAGGTGAGTGGTGAGGTGAGTGGTGAGGTGAGTGGTGAGGTGACGTGGTGAGGTGAGTGGTGAGGTGAGTGGTGAGGTGACGTGGTGAGTGGTGAGGTGAGTGGTGAGGTGAGTGGTGAGGTGAGTGGTGAGGTGAGTGGTGAGGTGAGTGGTGAGGTGAGTGGTGAGGTGAGTGGTGAGGTGAGTGGTGAGGTGAGTGGTGAGGTGAGTGGTGAGGTGAGTGGTGAGGTGACGTGGTGAGGTGAGTGGTGAGGTGACATGGTGAGGTGACGTGGTGAGTGGTGAGGTGAGTGGTGAGGTGAGTGGTGAGGTGCCGTGTTGTGTGCAGGCGCCCTGCACGGAGCGGCCTCCCCGGCCCCCGGGGGACCTCCCCCGGGCAGCGGCCTCACGCCCAGCCGCACCGGCCTGGGGCGGCTGGCTCCTGAGGCCGGCCGCTACGCCCAGCCGCAGGGCGTCCCCAACAGCCCCCTGCTGCCCTCCCTGCACAACGGGCCGGTGGTGGCGAGAGTCATCCAGAGACGGGTCCCCAACGCCTACGACAAGACAGCACTCGCACTGGAGGTGGGTGGGTGGGTGAGTGGGTGGGTGAGTGGGTGGGTGGGTGAGTGGGTGGGTGGGTGAGAGGGTGGGTGGGTGGGTGAGTGAGTGGGTGGGTGGGTGAGGGAGTGGGTGAGTGAGTGGGTGTGTGGGTGGGTGGGTGAGTGGGTGGGTGAGTGGGTGGGTGAGTGAGTGGGTGGGTGGGTGAGTGGTTGGGTGGGTGAGTGGTTGGGTGGGTGAGTGGGTGGGTGAGTGGGTGGGTGGGTGAGTGGGTGGGTGAGTGGGTGGGTGAGTGGTTGGGTGGATGAGTGAGTGGGTGGGTGAGTGAGTGAGTGGGTGGGTGAGTGGGTGGGTGGATGGGTGAGGGAGTGAGTGGGTGGGTGGGTGAGTGGGTGGGTGGGTGGGTGAGTGGGTGGGTGAGTGGGTGGGTGGGTGGGTGGGCGGGTGGGTGAGCGGGTGAGTGAGCGGGTGAGTGGGCGGGTGAGTGGGTGGGTGGGTGAGTGGGTGGGTGGGTGGGTGAGTGGGTGAGTGGGTGGGTGGGTGAGTGGGTGGGTGGGTGAGTGGGTGGGTGGGTGAGTGGGTGGGTGGGTGAGTGGGTGGGTGGGTGAGTGGGTGGGTGGGTAAGTGGGTGGGTGGGTGAGTGGGTGGGTGAGTGGGTGGGTGAGTGGGTGGGTGGGTGAGTGGGTGGGTGGGTGGGTGGGTGAGTGGGTGAGTGGGTGAGTGGGTGGGTGGGTGAGTGAGTGGGTGGGTGGGTGAGTGGGTGGGTGGGTGAGTGGGTGGGTGGGTGAGTGAGTGAGTGGGTGGGTGGGTGAGTGGGTGGGTGGGTGAGTGGGTGGGTGATTGGGTGGGTGAGTGGGTGAGTGGGTGGGTGGGTGAGTGGGTGGGTGAGTGGGTGGGTGGGTGGGTGAGTGGGTGGGTGGGTGGGTGGGTGAGTGGGTGTGTGGGTGGGTGAGTGGGTGGGTGGGTGAGGGAGTGGGTGGGTGGGTGAGGGAGTGGGTGGGTGGGTGAGGGAGTGGGTGAGTGGGTGGGTGGGTGGGTGAGTGGGTGGGTGGGTGAGTGGGTGGGTGAGTGGATGAGTGGGCGGGTGGGTGGGTGGGTGGGCGGGCGGGCGGGCGGGCGAGCGGGCGATTGAGAGTGGTGAGTGGGTGGTTGAGAGTGAGTGGGTAGGTGAATGAGTGGGTGGGTGAATGGGTGAGAGTGAGTGAGTGGGTGAGTGGGTGGGTGGGCGGGTGAGTGGGTGGGTGGGCGGGTGAGTGGGTGGGTGGGCGGGTGGGTGGGTGGGTGGGTGAGTGGGTGGGTGAGTGAGTGGGTGGGTGAGTGGGTGAGTGAGTGGGTGGGTGGGCGGGTGAGTGGGTGGGTGGGCGGGTGGGCGGGTGATTGAGAGTGAGTGGGTGGGTGAGTGGGTGAGTGGGTGGGTGAGTGGGTGGGTGGGTGAGTGAGTGGGTGGGTGGGTGGGTGAGTGGGTGATTGAGAGTGAGTAAGTGGGTGGGTGGGTGGGTGGGTGAGTGGGTGGGTGGGCGGGTGAGTGGGTAGGTGGGCGGGTGAGTGGGTGGGTGGGCGGGTGGGTGGGTGGGTGGGCGGGCGGGTGGGTGGGCGGGCGGGCGGGTGGGTGGGCGGGCGAGTGGGTGGGCGAGTGGGTGGGTGAGTGGGTGGGTGGGTGGGTGAGTGGGTGGGTGGGTGAGTGGGTGGGTGAGTGGGTGGGTGAGTGGGTGGGTGAGTGGGCAGGCGGCTGGGATGAGCGAGTGAGTGAGTAGATGTTCTCTTAAACATTGCGCGTCTATTATTTGCCTGCTATGATACATTCCCACGTGTGGTGGTGGTGGTGATGAACCTGATGGTGAGGGTGATGGTGGCGGTGGTGATGGCGTTGATGGCAGTGATGGTGGCGGTGATGGTGGTGGTGATAGTGGCGGCGGTGGCGGTGATGGTGGTGGTGATGGTGGTGATGGTGGTGGTGATGGTGGTGATGGTGGTGGTGATGGTGGTGGTGATGGTGGTGGTGGCGGTGATGGTGGTGGTGATGGTGGTGGTGGTGACGGTGGTGGTGATGATGGTGGTGGTGGTGGTGGTGACAGTGATGACAGTGGTGACGGTGACGGTGATGGTGGTGACGGTGATGGTGACGGTGACGGTGGTGGTGATGTTGGTGGTGATGGTGGTGGCTGTGGTGGTGGTGATGGTGGTAACGGTGACGTGATGATGGTGGTGGTGATGGTGGTGACAGTGGTGACGTGATGATGGTGACAGTGGTGACGTGATGATGGTGACAGTGGTGACGTGATGATGGTGACAGTGGTGACAGTGATGACGTGATGATGGTGACAGTGGTGACGTGATGATGGTGACAGTGGTGACGTGATGATGGTGATGATGGTGACAGTGATGACGTGATGATGGTGGTGGTGACAGTGGTGACAGTGGTGACGTGATGATGGTGATGATGGTGACAGTGGTGACGTGATGACAGTGGTGGTAGTGGTGACAGTGGTGACGTGATGATGGTGATGATGGTGACAGTGGTGACGTGATGACAGTGGTGGTAGTGGTGACAGTGGTGACGTGATGATGGTGATGATGGTGACAGTGGTGACGTGATGACAGTGGTGGTAGTGGTGACAGTGGTGACGTGATGATGGTGACAGTGGTGACAGTGGTGACGTGATGATGGTGATGGTAGTGATGGTGGTGACAGTGGTGACGTGATGACAGTGGTGACGTGATGACGTGATGACGTGATGACGTGATGATCTGTCTCACCACCGTGAGATTCCCCGCGTGGCTCTGTGCTGCTCGTCCCTTGGCCCGGAGCGTGGCCGTGGAGGGGTCAGGGGGCGGGGCTCAGGGGGCACGGTCAGGGGGCGGGGGTCAGGGGGCGGGGGTCAGGGGGCGCGGTCAGGGGGCGGGGGATCTGTGGAATGTGATTGGTGGGTGATGAGAGGTTCCGTAATGTACACACACAGACAAAGCTCCCCCAGGTAGCCTCTAGCAGGGCTGTAGGGGCAAGTGCTGCTAGTGGCGAGTAGCACCACCTATGATGCACACACACAGACAAAGCTCCCCCAGGTAGCCTCTAGCAGGGCTGTAGGGGCAAGTGCAGAGGGCTGCTACCTGGGGGAGCTTTGTCTGTGTGAGTGGCCCGTCTATGAATACTTAGGCGCGAGGAGTAAAATTAGCGGCGTGAAACACGAGGGGGGGGGCCTGGGGGGGGGAGGGGGCATGGGGGGGGAGGGGTGAGTCATGTGGTGAGTCACGTGGTGAGTGACGTGGTGAGTGACGTGGTGAGTGACGTGGTGAGTCACGTGGTGAGTGACGTGGTGAGTCACGTGGTGAGTGACGTGGTGAGTGACGTGGTGAGTCACGTGGTGAGTCACGTGGTGAGTCACGTGGTGAGTCACGTGGTGAGTGACGTGGTGAGTCACGTGGTGAGTGATGTGGTGAGTGATGTGGTGAGTCACGTGGTGAGTCACGTGGTGAGCCACGTGCTGAGTCACGTGGTGAGTCACGTGGTGAGTCACGTGGTGAGTCACGTGGTGAGTGATGTGGTGAGTGATGTGGTGAGTCACGTGGTGAGTCACGTGGTGAGTCACGTGGTGAGTCACGTGGTGAGTGATGTGGTGAGTGATGTGGTGAGTCACGTGGTGAGTCACGTGGTGAGCCACGTGCTGAGTCACGTGGTGAGTCACGTGGCGAGTCACGTGGTGAGTCACGTGCTGAGTCACGTGGTGAGTGACGTGGTGAGTCACGTGGTGAGTGACGTGCTGAGTCACGTGGTGAGTCACGTGCTGAGCCACGTGGTGAGTCACGTGGTGAGTCACGTGGTGAGTCACGTGGTGAGTCACGTGCTGAGTGATCCCTGCGCGTGTGTGGCGCTGCAGGTTGGTGACGTGGTGAGTCACGTGGTGAGTCACGTGCTGAGTCACGTGCTGAGTCACGTGGTGAGTGACATGGGTAGTCACGTGCTGAGTCACGTGGTGAGTCACGTGGTGAGCGATCCCTGCGTGTGTGTGGCGCTGCAGGTTGGTGACGTGGTGAGTCACGTGGTGAGTCACGTGGTGAGTCACGTGGTGAGTCACGTGGTGAGTCACGTGGTGAGTCACGTGGTGAGTCACGTGGTGAGTCACGTGGTGAGTCACGTGGTGAGTCACGTGGTGAGTCACGTGGTGAGTCACGTGGTGAGTCACGTGGTGAGTCACGTGGTGAGTCACGTGGTGAGCGATCCCTGCGTGTGTGTGGTGCTGCAGGTTGGTGACGTGGTTAGTGACGTGGTGAGTGACGTGGTGAGTCACGTGGTGAGTCACGTGGTGAGTCACGTGGTGAGCGATCCCTGCGTGTGTGTGGCGCTGCAGGTTGGTGATGTGGTGAGTGACGTGGTGAGTGACGTGGTGAGTGACGTGGTGAGTCACGTGGTGAGTCACGTGGTGAGTGACGTGGTGAGTCACGTGGTGAGTCACGTGGTGAGTGACGTGGTGAGTCATGTGGTGAGTCACGTGGTGAGTGACGTGGTGAGTCACGTGGTGAGCGATCCCTGCGTGTGTGTGGCGCTGCAGGTTGGTGACGTGGTGAAGGTCACCAAGATGAACATCAACGGGCAGTGGGAGGGCGAGGTGAATGGCCGCTGTGGCCACTTCCCCTTCACCCACGTGACACTCACAGCACCAGCGGTGCCAGCGGTGGTGCCAGCGGCGGCGACACCACACGGCAGTGGCCATGACGATGCCGGGGGGGGCGACTTCAGCTGAGGAGGGGGGGGGGAGGGGGGGGCGGGGGGGGGAGGGGGGGGAGGGGGGGGCAGGGGGGGAGGGGGGCGGGGGGCGAGGCGACGGTGGTGGATGATGAATGGTGGTGGTGGTGATGGAGGTGGCGGTGGAGGTGGTGGTGGCTGAGGAGGAGGAGGTGGTGGAGGTGGTGGAGGTGGTGGTGGTGGAGGTGGTGGTGGAGGTGGTGGAGGTGGTGGAGGTGATGGTGGTGGTGGTGGAGGTGGTGGAGGTGGTGGTGGAGGTGGTGGAGGTGGTGGTGGAGGTGGTGGTGGCTGAGGAGGAGGAGGTGGTGGAGGTGGTGGAGGTGGTGGTGGTGGAGGTGGTGGTGGAGGTGGTGGAGGTGGTGGAGGTGATGGTGGTGGTGGTGGAGGTGGTGGAGGTGGTGGTGGAGGTGGTGGAGGTGGTGGTGGAGGTGGTGGTGGAGGTGATGGAGGTGGCTGAGGAAGAGGTGGTGGTGGAGGTGGTGGTGATGGTGGTTCAGGTGGTGGTGGTGTTTGTGTGACAGTCACTCCACTGTCGTCTGCCTCAGTGTGTGTGTGTCACTCCACGCTGCCTGTATGCCTGCGTATCTGCCTGTGTGTGTGTGTGTGTGCCTGTGCGTGTGTGTGTGCCTGTGCGTGTGTGTGTGCGTGTGTGTGTGTGTGCGTGTGTGTGTGTGTGCGTGTGTGTGTGTGTGTGTGCGTGTGTGTGTGTGTGTGTGCGTGTGTGTGTGTGCCAGACCACTGTCTTAACACACTCACCTGTGTGTGTGTGTAACTCTACTTTGTGTGTGTGTGTGGCACATGACTCTCTCTCTTAATAAGCACATACCAGTCTGCCTGTATGTGTGTGTGTCACTCTGTTTGCATGTCTGTGTGTGTGCGTGCTATCTACACGCGCTCGTGTGTGTGTGTGTGTGTGCGTGTGTGTCGCTCATCACATGTCCCCCTTCGCTCACCCACTCTCTCACCCACCCATCTACCCTCTCACCCACCCACTCACTCATCCACTCACCAACTTATCCACCCACCGACTCACGCACCCACTCTCTCACTAACCCACCCACTCACTCATCCACTCACCTACTTATCCACCCACTCACGCACTCACCCCCCACCCTCTCACCCACCCACCCACTCACTCATCCACTCACCCACTCACCTACTTATCCACCCACTCATCCACCCACTCACCCATCCACTCACCTACTTATCCACCCACTCGCCCACCCACTCACTCACCCACTCACCCATCCACTCACTCACCCACCCACTCAGACACCCATCCACTCGCCCACTGAGTCACTCACCCACCCATCCACTCACTCACCCACTCACCTATCCACTCACTCACTCACCCACTCACCCACCCACCCACTCACCCACCCACTCACCCACTCATTCACCTATCCACTCACCCACTCACTCACTCACTCACCCACCCACCCTCTCACCCACCCACCCTCTCACCCTCTCACCCACTCACCCACCCACCCACCCTCTCACCCACCCACCCACCCACTCACCCACCCACCCACTCACTCACCCACTCACTCACCCACCCACCCACCCACTCACCCACTCACCCACCTGCCCACTCACCCACCCACTCACCCACTCACTCACTCACCCACCCACCCACTCACCGACTCACTCACCCACCCACTCACCCACTCACCCACCCACCCACTCACCCACTCACCCACCCACCCACTCACCCACCCACCCACCCACTCACTCACCCTCTCACCCACCCACTCACTCACCCACTCACCCACTCACCCACTCACCCACCCACTCACTCACCCACCCACCCACCCACTCACTCACCCACCCACCCACCCACTCACCCACCCACCCACCCTACCCATGGGGCTGGGTGCCATTTCCCGGCGTGGTGGAAGTCTCCGCGACCTTCACGCTCGCCAAACCCCAACTCCACCATCGATCCTAACCACCAATTAGCCACGTGGGGAGGTGGTGGGGGGGATGGTGGGGGGGGTGGTGGGGGGGGGATGGTGGGGTGGGTGGGGGGGATGGTGGTAGTGGTGGTGGTGACGGCTGTCGTGGTGGTGGCTGTAGTGGTGGTAGTGGTGGTGGCTGTCGTGGCGGTGGTGGCTGTAGTGGTGGTAGCGGTGGTGGTGGCTGCTGTAGTGGTGGTAGTGGTGGTGGTGACGGCTGTGGTGGCTGTAGTGGTGGTGGCTGTAGTGGTGGTGGCTGTAGTGGTGGTGGCTGTAGTGGTGGCTGTAGTGGTGGTGGCTGTAGTGGTGGTGGCTGTAGTGGTGGCTGTAGTGGTAGTGGCTGTAGTGGTAGTGGTGGTGGTAGTGGTGGTGGCTGTAGTGGTGGTAGCGGTGGTGGTGGTAGCGGTGGTGGTGGCTGCATAGTTGACGTCTCTAGGCTATGTACAGGGCCCCTGTAGAAACCAGCTGCTGCTGTCTCGGTCCAGCTGTTTTGATCGGGGCGGTGAGTTGTTAATCATCACTATCAGCACCATCATCATCACCATCATCACTATCAGCATCATCACCACCATCATCATCCTCACCATTATCATCACCATCACCATTATCATCATCATCATCATCACCACCACCACCACCATCATCATCATCACTATCAGCACCATCATCATCATCACCATCATCACCACCACCACCACCATCATCACCACCACCATCATCATCACTATCAGCACCATCACCACCATCATCACTATCAGCACCATCATCATCATCACCACCGTCATCAGTAGCACCATCATCATCATCATCACCACCACCATCATCATCACCACCACCATCATCAGCACCACCATCATCATCACTACCACCATCACCACCATCATCATCACCACCATCATCATCACTATCAGCACCATCATCATCACCACCATCATCAGCAGCACAACTACCACCATCATCACCACCACCGTCATCAGCAGCACCACTACCACCATCATCAGCAGCACCATCATCAGCAGCACCACCACTACCATCATCAGCACCACCACTACCATCATCAGCAGCACCACCACTACCATCATCATCATCAGCACCACCACTACCATCATCAGCAGCACCACTACCATCATCAGCAGCAGCACCACTACCACCATCATCAGCAGCACCACTACCATCATTATCAGCACCACCACTACCATCATCATCAGCACCACCACTACCATTATCAGCACCACCACTACCATCATCAGCACCACCACTACCATCATCAGCACCACCACTACCATCATCATCATCAGCACCACCACTACCATCATCATCAGCACCACCACTACCACCATCATCAGCACCACCACTACCATCATCAGCAGCACCAATACCATCATCAGCAGCACCACTACCACCATCATCAGCAGCACAACTACCATCATCATCACCACCACCACCATCATCAGCAGCACCATCATCAGCAGCACAACTACCACCATCATCAGCACCACCACTACCATCATCATCATCAGCACCACCACTATCATCATCATCAGCACCACCACTACCATCATCATCAGCACCACCACTACCATCATCAGCACCGCCACTACCATCATCAGCACCATCATCATCATCATCCCGCTCACGGCCAACACCACCAGTGACGATTATCTGAACCGATCCTGGGCCTGCCCTAGGTCGACTCAGCCTCAAATGAGGACCTGGTGTGGTGTGTAGTAAACATCGCTAGCACAGGGGAGACAAAGGCGGCCGGGCGTGGTGCTGGCCACGCACCCCCTCGTGTGCCGTGCCGGCCTTCATAGGTGCTCGCTAACAGCACTTGCCCCTACAGCCTGTTACAGGCTGCACGGGGGATCTTTGTCTTTGGAGCGGTGGTGCAGCGGTTAGCGCTACGCTGCACTACGAACCCGGCGACCCGAGTTCTTATGATCTCCCCCTGTCCTACAGAGTGAGTGGAGTTTGTGTGATCTCCCCCTGTCCTACAGAGTGAGTGGAGTTTGTGTGATCTCCCCCTGTTCTACAGAGTGAGTGGAGTTTGTGTGATCTCCCCCTGTTCTACAGAGTGGAGTGGAGTTTGTGTGATCTCCCCCTGTCCTACAGAGTGGAGTTTGTGTGATCTCCCCCTGTTCTACAGAGTGAGTGGAGTTTGTGTGATCTCCCCCTGTTCTACAGAGTGAGTGGAGTTTGTGTGATCTCCCCCTGTTCTACAGAGTGGAGTGGAGTTTGTGTGATCTCCCCCTGTCCTACAGAGTGGAGTTTGTGTGATCTCCCCCTGTTCTACAGAGTGAGTGGAGTTTGTGTGATCTCCCCCTGTTCTACAGAGTGAGTGAGTGGAGTTTGTGTGATCTCCCCCTGTCCTACAGAGTGAGTGGAGTTTGTGTGATCTCCCCCTGTTCTACAGAGTGAGTGGAGTTTGTGTGATCTCCCCCTGTTCTACAGAGTGAGTGGAGTTTGTGTGATCTCCCCCTGTTCTACAGAGTGAGTGAGTGAGTGGAGTTTGTGTGATCTCCCCCTGTTCTACAGAGTGAGTGAGTGAGTGGAGTTTGTGTGATCTCCCCCTGTTCTACAGAGTGAGTGAGTGGAGTTTGTATGATCTCCCCCTGTTCTACGGTGAGTGGAGTTTGTGTGATCTCCCCCTGTACTACAGAGTGAGTGAGTGGAGTTTGTGTGATCTCCCCCTGTCCTACAGAGTGAGTGGAGTTTGTGTGATCTCCCCCTGTTCTACAGAGTGAGTGAGTGGAGTTTGTGTGATCTCCCCCTGTCGTAGAGAGTGAGTGGAGTTTGTGTGATCTCCCCCTGTTCTACAGAGTGAGTAGAGTTTGTGTGATCTCCCCCTGTTCTACAGAGTGAGTGAGTGAGTGGAGTTTGTGTGATCTCCCCCTGTTCTACAGAGTGAGTAGAGTTTGTGTGATCTCCCCCTGTTCTACAGAGTGAGTGGAGTTTGTGTGATCTCCCACTGTCTTACAGAGTGAGTGGAGTTTGTGTGATCTCCCCCTGTCCTACAGAGTGAGTGGAGTTTGTGTGATCTCCCCCTGTTCTACAG